ATTACTAAAATATTTCCCTGAGCATAGCAGGAACTGATTTTAATGTTAAGTTTTGACTAAACGAGCTGAGGACAGATGAAATTTATGGAACATAAATTTCATCTGCTATTAAGATACACCGATCTGATAAAAAGATAACAGACGTTTATGGGTTAACGTAAAATCTTGTTTCCAAAATCGTCTTTTGTTCTGTTTATGGATCGCTTTAATGAGTTTCGTTTTTTAACGAACCAAATAAATTTTATCAAATATCTCGTTGGAAATAAACCAACTGATAAAATGAACTCTCTATTTAACATACGGTAATTTCTTTAATTAGAAAATCCTTTTATTAAAATGCATTCTCCGGTCTGGAAGCTGAAACGTAGAAATTAGTGTAAACCAAAGAATAAAAAACCATAGAAGTCTAAACAAAATTAATTTGTAACTGTTTCCTAGCAGAATCGCAGTATTTTTTGTTAAATATTGCTTTGGGATAAAGCACTGATTATACAATACACTCTTTATTAAACGTCCAGATGTAATAGACGAAGGCCGAACCCTTTAAAAATTATTGTAAACAGTAAAAAATATTAACAGGATGGAATTAATCGGAAAATGAAGAGAAGATAACAAAAATAATTAAAAACTCACCCCGTTCAACGTTAAACAAAACGGTTTATCACAATTTCCGGTAAAGCTAAAGGCCGTATTGAAAAAAGAAGAAATTCAAATAACCGAGGTTTTGATTTTTTATTTTTATCTTCCACATTTTTTTTTCATAAAATTTGATGAAAACAACTTGTATGTCTTAAATATACTGCAATTTTTTATTTATTTAAAATGTTTATTTTTTTCCCTTATTCTAATAATAAGGTAAATGCTACCTGTATTTTAGTCTGTCGTCTGTATAAAAATGTGATTATTTTCGGTCATGAAGTATATATAACGAAGCGTACTAGTCTAGGTGCCAGGCGACATACTGTATCACTCATTAGATAACAGGCTAAAATTTTCAGGATAGCTTCATAAGACCTCGACCCCCAAATATCTCTTGGGATACTTTCTGTCCCGGGTGCTTTTTCTCTCCAGCTTATCAAAAAGTGGTCATTTTGAAGTGATGTATCAAATTTAATAAAAACGTGTTGCTGTTTAATGAATACAAAAGTCGACTTCGTGAAATATCCGAATAAAATCTTGCATGACAAAAACTTTGGTTCCATAAGGGAGTCCACCAAACTAAACATGCCAAAAAAACAACTTTAAAAAATTTAGTAATAACAAGCTGATTTTCCCTGTATCGTTTAAAAATAACGTGAAAAATACTATATTTACATTGTCCGACAAAATGTACTAGCCGATTTTTCCGTCCGATAGTAAAAATCGACTTTTTCACGAATCTGTGGAAATTTATTAATATCGTGTTTTTTATATTTTTTAGTTTTTAAATGGAGAATACAACTTAATGAATGAATTGTCCGAAAAGAAAATAAGGCCTTTTAAGTAAAGATTAAAAAAATATACAATCGAGATTACCTTTTTCTAGAATGTGTGAGCATTAAAATTGTAGATACATCCTACTTATAAATAACAAGCTGATTTTTTCAAAGCTGTTTTATAAAATCTCGTAGTATACAAATCTAAAATTGACGGACAATAATCTTTTTCCGAATTTTCCCTCGGACACGTTTCGTCGTACCCTTCGTTGAAATTGTGTATATATTTTTTTCTAAAACATCTGGAATCATAAATATTACGAACTGTTTTGCTCGCAGAGAAAAATGGTCTATAACACATTCCTTTGAATTTTGACACATTTTAACACATTTTGACGAAATGCCCCTGAAGATGCTATTTTAAGCGAAAGTACTTGGGCTTGATTTAATTAACTTGTGCTCGATAATAGCCTTATTTTCAAAGTACATTCCTTTAGAACTAGTATTATCTCAAAATTTCTTAAATTTACGTTCAGGAGATGACAACTAAAGATTTACGAAAATCATCAATAATAAAATCTAAAAAAAATCTAGATGATTTGTTATAATCAACGAATGTACTAATCCTTTCTCACATGACTTATCTGAAGATCATTTATACAACATCGCTTCTGGAGTTTCCAACGATATTTACAATTTCTTCATCCGTTGAAAGTGTAGGCAATGAACAGCGTCTAAATGATATTTAAGAAGGTTTACAAGCATCAGAAAGATTTATTAAAGCAATTAAAACAACTTTGCTTTTAAAAATACAAAAAAAGTCAAAATTAATGAGAAAGTATAAGAAATAAAAATTGAAAGAAATATTTGTGGATGATTATTGCACGCATCATAATAACATTGATTTAGAAAAAGAATTAAGTTATCCTTTGACCCCTGTACCATTTTCTTTATGTCATGTAAATGGCACAATTTGCAAAACTCTAAAATCTGTTATTCTAAAGGAATTGCATAATTACCAAAATACAGTTATTGATCCTCCAGTGCCTGACATTACTATTTATGATGGATTTTACTTGCTACATACTTCAACAAGATTACCTCAAAAGTATGCATCAATTTCTAAATACATTTTTAAATTTCTACTCTTTGAAAAAAAAAGAAGTTCATATCATATTTGACAAATACAACTCACCAGCTATTAAAGACCATGAACAACAGTTGAAAAGAGAAGAGAGTAATATTCAGTATGACGTCAGAAGAGAAAATATGCGCTCAACATATTTTGGCAAAAAATTATTATGAAATAGAAATGTTAAAGAAAACTTTGTGGAATTTCTCATTGAAGACTGGTGCAAGGACGAATTTACTGAGATATGTGAAGGAAAAATAATAAAATTTAATTATGGTGATAATTGTTACGTGTATGCAGTTTTCAACAATCAAATGAAGAGATCTGTAGATTATAGTTCATCTTGTGCACATGAAGAAGCAGATACAAATATTGTACACCATATTTGCCAGATGAACACGACTACCGAGTGACAGTTCGTTGTACCGATTCTGACATACCTATAATTATGTTATCAAATATGGAATTTTTAAAATCTAATGTGGAAGTAATTATAGATAGGAATATTCAACCAACAAAAACAGGAATATTTTAATATCAATGATATTTATCAAAATTATGGAGAGCAAATGACACGAGCTCTAAACAGTATGTCATGTATTTACTGGCAATGATTATAACCCTGCATTTTATAGAAAAGGAAAGAAGAGACCATTTGATATTTTGAAGAAAAACGCGAGATACCAGGTAGCCTGCCTGGATCTTTTAAGAATCCCTCCATCTGAATTGAATACTTCAAACCCAACATTTAAAGTTATTGAAGAATTTATTTGTAAAGTTTATTCCTTAAAAAGCACAGGCGTCAACATGAGGCGAGTTGAGTTCTTCGAGAAGGCTTTTGGAAACAAAAATGACGATGAAATGGTAATAGCTCAGTTAAGAGGTCTCGATGTATCACGTATACCTCCATTTAGAGAAGAGCTATTACAACAAATTAAAAGAACAATTTATATATGCAGTGTATGGTGCAATAAACATTTAAGATCACCAACAAATTTAAAAAATGAAAATTGTAGATGGACACTGATAGAAGAAAAATATTACCACCATTGGTTTGATGTCCCCCAGTGTCCTACATTTGATGATATATCTTCAAATATATAGGTAATAATATTTTGCATTTCACGCGAAAAATAACTGAATTTTTTTATGGGCGCTCCCGCTCCATATGATTTGTCCGCCATATGTATTAAACATTAAGTAATTATCTAAAAAATGAACTTTGTACTTAGTCCGACGGTTATTTATAAAATTTAAGCTTAGCGTAATATCTGAAATTTATATAGATTGAATAAATAAAAAAATTGCCATTTTTTGTCGGACTGCAATTTGGGTACATTATATTTGTCATACACATATTCCATTTAGTATGTAAATCTATTACTAATTAAAATTTTTTTTGTCCGACAGTTATTAATAAATTTTCACAAACTCGTGGAAAAGCCGATTTTCACTGTCGGACGGAAAAATCGGCGAGTACATTTTGTCGGCCAATGTAAAAATAGTATTATTCCACGTTATTTTTGAACGATACAGAAAAAATCAGCTTATTATTACTAAATGTTTTGAAGTGGTTTTTTTGGTTTTAATTTGGTGGACTACCTTATGGAACCAAAATGTTTGTCGGACAAAAGTTTTTTCGGATATTTTACGAAGTCGACTTTTGTATTCATTAAACAGCAATACGTTATTAATAAATTTGATACATCACTTCAAAATGACCACTTTTGGATAAGTTGGAGAGTAAAGCACCCGGTACAGAAAGTATCCCAAGAGATATTTGGGGGTCGAGGTCTTATGAAGCTATCCTGAAAATTGTAGCCTGTTATGTATGAGTGATACAGTATGTCGCCTGGCACCTAGACTATACAGTCGTTAGCGATAATTAAAAAAAGCCTGTTAAACAGTAATTAAGTTAATTGTTAAAACATGTTTTTGTGCTGTTCTATATCGGAAATCGGAATAGTAAATAAACACCATATTTATTTTATATGTAACAAAATAATATCGGATTTTAAGTTGCTGAAATGGATTCCAATAATGACGTTCCTATGGGTCACGGATCGCAGCCAATTCATATATATCCAAATCAAATACCATCCGCACCTATGATACAGTCGGGGTTTCTTGGAAACCAGTCAGTGGCGTGTCCCTCTCAAATCCAGATGTACAATGAATATCCACAACAATCTTAAATAATCACATCTAATGATTTACCCTCATTTGTTTACCGATTGTCTAATCCACAGATACCAAACCGAATGCCATATTCTACCTCATTTCCATCATTATCTTCACTTAACCCTAATAACGAATGGCATGTAGTTCCCCATAGGAAATGCCCGAGAAGTCCAGAGGAAGAAAATAGAAAATCGACAAGACCAACCAAACTCAATGAGTAGTAGCTAAGCAACATATTTAGTAGCCTCAGTGAGGAGTCAGAAAAAAAACCTATGGAAATACCAGATGAAGGCACCAAGAAAGGACCAAAACCACCAAGAGTATTTGTCACTGAAGTAGAAAATATAAATCCCCTCATGGCACTGTTAGATGAGGAAATTACAGGTAAATACAGTATTAAAGACAGTACTGAGGAGGTAAAAATACAGGATGACGATGGACAAACTTACTCTAAAATCAAGAAAGCCCTAAATGAAAAAAACACGCAATATCATACATATAAAACTAAGTAAATGAAACCATTTAAGAGTAGTACTAAAGAGCATCTACTCATCATCAAACATTAAAGACATAGAAAATAACTTAAAAGACTTGGGACACGAGCCCACAAATATCTGGAATATAAAACAAAGATCCACTAAAAAACCACTACCTATGATTTTTATCGATCTAAAACAAAATAAAAATAACAAACACATATATACAACGAAACATATAATGAACTCAAATGTAGCTTTTGAACTATCATGCCCCAACAGAGATATACCACTTGCGATGTCAAAGATATGAACACACAAAAAATTTCTGTCACAGAAATCCTTGATATGTAACATGCACAGAGAGTAATTTTACGAAAGATTGCTCCAGGACAAATCAAGATACTAATGTTAGATGTGTCAACTGTAACGAAAATCATTCAGCAAATTGCAGAGGCTGCATAGTCTATAAACAACTGCAAGAAAAAGTGTACCCAAAACTAAGACAAAAACGACCATCCAAATAACAATAGAACACTCAACATTTAGCCAGGAATTACACTCGCCCAGAGAGCATAACCACACACGCACACCTCAAATATATCATCAAACTACATCTACTCGAGCTGTACAACAAACTAATTATAACAAAATAAATATACGTAGACCGTTGCGTTTGGATTTAATTTGAGTCTCTTACCATTCTCTAACACCTGTTTCTGGGTCTATCCGTCATCAGAGAGACTTCTATGAACTATTGATATTCCAGTATTAAAATCCATAATGAAAGAACTTATAAATTAAATGGGTATACTGATGAATCTGATTTCTACTGTCGTCAATAAAATATCCAAATTACTCACCAAATTACTTAAAATGCACGCGCAAGAAATCCGTGCTTTTATACAAAATAATAATTTAGAATGCTTGTAAGTAAAACACATTGTACAAATAAAAGCTATTTTAAAATACCAAGCTATGATACCATGCCGAATATCCAGATGGGACTGCGCATGGAGGGACTGCTTTAAAAATTAAACGAAATATCAAACATAACACGTTGAAAGAATATAAACAAGATTATCTACAGGCATCTATATAACCATAAAACGAACTGGGTAGAATTTAGAGAACACTTTGCACACATCAATCTGCAAATTCAATTAAAAACGCCACAAGAAATAGAAGATGAAAGAAAATAATTCGCAATAGCTATACGGAAAGCAGTGTGGGCAGTAGCCCCGACTATTGACTTCACTAAACCGGAAAAAAATCTCGATCCTACAGTTAAACAAAAAATACTAGAGAAAAGGCAGCTACGAAAAAATCGCAGATATTGAGATGCGCAAGAGATAAAGCAAAACTAAACTATAAGTTTGTTGTCGATTCTATTAAAGGTATTCGAAAAGCTTCTATTGATAATATTGATTCCAATCCTAGAAAAAACTAAACTTATTTCGGACCATCAATTCGGCTTCAGTTTAAAGCATGGACAATCTAACAGGTCCACAGAATAGTAAAAAAATCTCCTACGCGTGAGAAAGTACATTCGACCTCCCAGCAGCCTTCCTAGACGTCAGTCAAGCTTTCGATAAGGTTGGCATAAAGTCCTACTTCTAGTAAGTATTCCACAAGGAAGCGTACTAGGATCTATATTATTCCTGATGTTTACTACAGACCTCCCATGCAGCAGTAACACAGAAGTTGCAACTTTTTCAGACGACATCGCAATACTGGCCATTGACTCTAGTCCCACAAAAGCATCAGAAAAAAAAAACTAAATACAATAGAAACTTGACTAAAAAAATTGCGAATGAGACCAAGTCAACACATGTAAGCTTCGCAATGAAACGAGGTGACTGTCCTCCAGTCACACTCAATGGTTAGCAAATAAGTAAGGCAAATGACACCAAATACTTATCTTGACAAACAACTAACCTTGAAGGAGCACCTTTACCAAAAGAAAACAACTGGGCATTCAATTTAGACATATGTACTGGTTGATTGGTCAAAACTCTAAATTCACATTGGATATCAAACTGCTTATATACAAGGCGATCCTCAAGCCCATATGGACATATGGTATTCAACTATGGGGCACCCCTAGCAATTCTAATCTCGCAATCCTCCAACGCTTCTAGAATTAAGTGTTAATGTCTATACTAAATGCTCCATGGGATGTTACATCCTCATGAAACAATTTTAAGAAGTTACAGTGTCAAATATGGTGAACGGATAAAATTGCATCCCAGTGTACTCCCAAAATGGTTATCCAACGATAATAATGAAGTGCGTAGGCTAAAATGTTTTAAACCAAATGATCTTCTTCTTATTCTTCAAATGGCGCCACAACTCTTTGCGGGTCTTGGCCTGCTTAACAATATTCTTCGATTCTGCCCTGTCGGATACTTTCCTTCGCCACTGCCTGATGTTCATGGTTTTAAGATTTCTCCCTACGTCGTCTATCCATCTTTTACTGGGCCTTCCTCTTGTTCTGTTTCCGTGGGGCTTCCGTCTCTGGACTACTTTTACAGCTCGATTATCCGGTATTCTGTCTAGGTGACCAAGCCAGTTTAGTCTTTGTAACTTTACAAATCTAACAATATCTGCGCTGCATTAGTTCATCCAACACGTGGTTCATTTTAATTCTCCACGAACCATCGCGGCATTGGGTTGGTCCAAATATCTTTTGGACCAACTTGGTCCAAAAGATATTTGGCCAACGGACCCCGTTGGTATTTTGCGCTCAAATATTCTCAGTTGGTTTTCATCAGTGGTTGAGAGGGTCCACGTTTCATATCCATATGTGACCACTGGTCTAATTACTGTTTTATACATTCTAAGCTTAGACTCACGATTCAGTAACTAAACCAAATGATCTATCAAACAGATTTAATATTTAAGCAAAACCAACTGAAGAGTTTAAGAAGAAAAGAAACTATTAAACTATTAACCACATTTTGCTCTAACCTTTGTCAACATTTTAATTTAACGTTCTTTTTAATTAAAGTGGTTATATACTTTCAGGTTTGCACTGATGATGGATTGATTAATCCGAAAACGTTTTGCAATGTGTTTGTGATAGCCCGTTTGGGGCATTTTTATATACCTTTTATAAAGGATTTTAAACAATTTTTTGTGATATATGGTATACAGCTAGCTACAGGAACTTAGTTTCCTCGTGGAATTTGAAGAAAAGAACCTCCTCACTGGAAGAGACTCCTACACGCTATGTAGGCAAACAAATTACTTATTAAATAACCTTTAGTTTTGGATAGATAGTATTTACGTATCATAACATCAAAAACTAAATTCTGATGAAATATAGTGAAATATTAAAAAACAAGAATTTTGTTTATTTTACACAAATAAATTTATTTTGTAGAGATATTAACTTGATTTTGTCTTTTCAGATTATTAACATAGGAGAATCTGTTTGTACCATCACGATGATAAGCAAGTAATTACCACCATCATTTTAGTTTGTGCTAATTTAGAGTGCGTTATCAGATCATTATCGGTGAAAACTTCTTCTTAAAACCCTTTCATAAAGCGGAATAAAATTGTTGATATTACATCTTAAGGGTTGAAATATTAAAATTAAAGCAACACTACAACAATGTCGATGTTATTGGATTTAACTAAAAGGGAACATATCGAGTCCTACTCGAAAGTCGTGTGGGTCTAACAGTAGTCTCCAACTGGTGTTGGCTCGAGTTATATATCAGCAACCAAAAAATTGTTACAATTTAAAGAACTACCAATACATTACTGTATTTGTATATAATCAATTTATTACAAAAATCAACGCAAAAACACTAAACGAGAAAAACGAGTATATTCTTTACAATATTTTGTAAATGTAATGAAAACATTTAGAGAAAATGCACATTTATTTCGAGGTTGACATGCAAATAAGAGTATAGAATTTGTTTTGTAGATTGTAGAAAAAAAAAGCTTGATACTTTCTCAGCCGTCTGTGTTATGGTAATCCCGTGTCTATCCAGAAATACACCAGTGAGATTTTTTTCTTAGTCTTGTCATTTCTTATCTTTCTCGAGTAAATTAAGAAGATCGTTTTCACGAGTAACAAAGTTTTTTTTGAAGATCCTCGACCTCTTTGCCTTACCTTACTAATTTCAGGAATATTTTGCTTATTTTCGCTAAATTTTGTGCTTATATAAGTGTTTATTTTGACCTTTCTGACATGCTTATAACCTACAATTTTACAGTAGTTTTAGAAAAATAATTTATGTTTAATTCTAGTCGAGATATTTTTAAAAGTTTACGAGAAACGACAATAATTACCGTCACATTTGTAAATTTTTTTATTAGAACGAAATTCCACCTCTAAATTACACTATATTCAGCTATATAACCTACCCCGTATGCTACTCAATCGATGATATGATCTGAATCCTTACAAATATTAACCGGTCTAGAGATATTATCCGATCTACAGATACGTCCGATGTATCAACCACAAATGGACCTCCAAAATCTGATCGACCAAAATAGCCATAAGTCAATTTATGTGACATGAGCCAGATCTCATTGTTTTCGAGGGACGGGGAATCGGTGGCGGCGTATCGAACAACCCCTTTTAGGTAGATGATAGTAATTGAAACTGCATAGCGATGTAACTAATTTGCAAGGGCCGTCTTGTGTGTTTACAAAGCTTCCCCGGCCCTTATTTCGTCGAGTTCCGACGTTGGGTAAAGTCTATTAATTGGACCGGAGGTCAGTTTCAACGTGCCGACAGACTCGTATGAACTTGCATAACAAAACACCTGGCACCTTGCTACCGTTGAAGGCATTGTCCTAATGTACATAACTAAACAAAAGATTTGGAGCTGTATAAACTGCACAACAGCCCCTGGGTTAATCTTTAAGTTGGAGGAAAAGTAATGAATATATATGAACTTGTGAAAGTGACGGTTACTTAATCAAAGCTTGTTTAATTAGGCGGCCGATAGAAAATAAAATAGAAGAACATGCTACTTTCATGGACGGAAACATAACAAACAACTATGTAT